ACCATTTCTATTGAACTGAAGATCCAAGATAGCTGGCAACATAACTTATGGCCTGTTGATGCTTGATGAAAATACAGACATCATAGCCAGGTATGGTAGTGCATACCTGTAATCCCAGCACTTAGGAGGCTGAATTAGGAGATCACTGGGAATTCGAGGCCAGCCTGGACTACATAGAGAGTTTAGGGTGAGCCTAAACTACAAAATGAGACCTTGTCTCAAAAAACCAACAAGCAAACAAACAAAAATAAAATATAGACATAATTTATGATTATTCTAACTAGTGTTCTTCTTAATAAGGACTATATATATCTATTAATATTGGTTGATATCCAAATGGTTGATTCCAAGGATTTATCAATGTTAATTACCAATGCTAAGGTGCAATATTAGCAATAATGTAGAAGTCAGACTTTAATTATAAACAGTTCTTTAAAATTTGGATATGCTACACCTTTCCATTAGCGTACAGCTAACTTACTACAATGCCTCTGGTAAGCATGTAGATTTCCAAACACTTGAACCAGTTACAAGGCCTGTTAGCACACTGTAAGTGAAAAAGGGAAGATTATATATATTGTGACATATAAAATGTGATATGCAAAATAGATTTTTTATTTGGTAAGGGATTGCTTTGAAATGGTAAAGGATGTGATAAATTTCTTGGAAATAAAAGTCAGAAAACTCTGATGATAAATTTACTGATAAGGCCGTAGGCAATTTTCTTCTGTCTGTTGATAATATTCCTCCCTAACTCCCTCCTTGAAATGGATGTTCTGTGGAAAGTAATGGCAGCAAGAAAGACATTAGACATTATTATCCTTTTGGAGCTCATTAAACCTTGGTGACAAACAAAACTGTTCTCTCTGCTGAAGTCTGTGTAGCAACTAACTCCACCTATTGTTACCACCCACATTCAGTGACACTGGCCAATAAAGTCTGAAAATCCTGCAATGCAGTGATCTCCATCACAGCTTTTAAAATCTCTAAGATCTTCAGGTACTGAGGAGGGAAGTCTTCATAATCAAATAGCACAATGTGTGGCAAAATATAGAGATCGATTATACTGTCTCACTGGTAAACAGTGCAAAGGTGAAATCAATTCATAGAACTCAATTATTCTTGTAGACGGAATGGCTTCTTGGCCTTTCCTAAGGAAAAAGTCTCCCAGGACCCATTTACATGAACAAATTTGATTTGTTTGTAATTGGCATATTGCTTTAAATACTTTAAGCTTCTGAAGCATCTGAAAACATGCATCTTACAGAACTTAAGCCATCTGCACTATAATTTACACTAATACTAGTCCTGGCTCCTAGGACCAGTATGCACAGAAGTAGAGTAAACATCCAGTGGTTTCTAGGACTTCATAAACCATGCACTGGTGTAATCTAAATTCCCCTCACTGTACTTGAAAGTCTGATTAGGCCGTCAAGTGGAAAGATGTGTGCCGAGATACCATGGTATTCTTGTGGTAAAATCTTAGTTAAGAAAGAGTCTCTCCTGCATGACATCACCATCTGCTACACTGTTTGCATTTTAGATTTCCATTATCTCCAAGCTATACACTTGATTTTGTTTCAGAGAGGTGAAGTTTAAGGAAATTATGACCTAGATCTTATTTCCAATTACTCTGAAGATCAATGCATCTCAGGCAATGCCCCTGAAATTTCATGTTCATAAGCTGCTGTTGTGATACAGGACTGGGAGAAGGTAAGCGTTCTGTCATCCACAATCTCTCTTTATTATTTTTAAGGAGGGTTAGTTTCCATTATCGGAAGCAGATAAGGAATGCCAGCTCCCATTTATCATTCAGAACAGAACACTTACTTAGTGGGGAATGAATGAAAGCCATGTGGTGGGTGTGTTTTTTATAATAGTGATAACAAAGTCACAAGCCAAGGTCAGGAAAAATTCAAATGGGATTCCACTGGGTTACCAACATTTTATATAGGTTAAGGAATTTCCCAATATGAGCTTTAGCTTTCTAATATTTCTTTTTGTCTAAAACAGAGACCAGAATCAGAAACCTGACCTTTTCCCCTCACCTCAAATGATAATTAATTTTTACATCAACAACTTAGAGATTTTAGTTCCATTTAAAGGAAGGTAGTCATTTGCTATGCCCATTTTTATGCAATTAATTCTATTTTATTAAGACAGACACTGCCACTGGGGGTTTAGCTCAGTGGCGTAAGCACCTGCCTGGAAAGTACAAGTTTGTGAGTTTGATCCCTGGTACAAAAAAAGAAAAAAAAAAAAAAAGACATTGCCATAAAGATAAAGGACAAACTCATAGGCTCTCAACCTGTTTCTCACTGAAAGCATAATTTGTGGTTTTCCCACCCCTGGGATTGTCAGGGATTTGAAAGCTGGTTTTGCTAAACAAACAAACAGCAGTGACTCTTCACATGAACCTATAGATGTCTATTCAGTTTTTCTTTTTCAATCAGTTTCTAAGAGCAGAACAAAGATTGCCCTTGACTTTGTATCTGTCTCCTTCACTGCCTTAAAATTGAGTCAGATCTTTGCTCAGTTCTGTACACAGCATCTTAACTATTTATAGAATGTCTGCTTAAAAACTTAAGATTTAGTAACCCTAAATACATATAATCTATCAAGTCCCCCTTCAAGATATGTCTTCAGTCATTTTCTTAAACCTATAGTCATCCTCAGAACCTCTACAAAACTGATACTGCCCAAGCAGAAACAATCATCTCAGGGAGACCCAATGGTTCTCTTAAGCAGTAAGTATTTCTGCAGAGTCATCATGCAAATTCAGAATTGAGATTATAATCAACCAGATGCTGTCCCACTCAACAACTTTTTAAAGCTGTTCCTTCCAGGCCAATTTGATCTTTTTCATCAAAGTGGTGCCCCTTCACCTCCTCAAGCTGAAGTCCTTTCCTATTCTCTTTTACTTTCTAACTCTGCCTAAGGAGTCAGCCTCTGCCTCTCACTGATGTGTCCTGAAATGCTTTTCTACAACCATACATCAAGAATCTTCCAGGGTCGAAATGAGGTCCCCATCCTCTCTTTAGGGAGATAACCTGGTAACATTATAACATATCAAAAACAAAAAAAGTCTGCAGCATGCGAAAATGGGTCATTAATAACAGAGCAAAGCTGGGTGTGGAATTCATAATCGCAGCACTCTGGTAGGCAAAGGCAGGAGGATCCAAGGGTCCACCCGACCTGGGCAAAGCAATTTACCAAGATCTTGTCTCAAATAATAAAAGGTGGCCGGGGATTTGGCTCAGCAGCACAAGGGCCTGCCTGCAAACTCAAGGTCATGAATTCAATCCCCATAACAACAACAGAAAGGGTTGGGGGTGTAGTTCAGTGTGAAGCCCCTGGCTTTCATCTCCAGTGCCAAAAACAAATAAACAAACAACCTGAAAAAAGTAAGTGAGACTGGGCTGTTCTATGTGTCAGAAATGCTCAAAGTACTACTCACCATAGGCTTTCCAGATCAATAGATGGTAAGAATCTCCCTGCTTGGCTGTCCCCAAGCATTCCAAAATCAAACATGACCAGAATTAAACTCATCTAGGCAAAACATTTCTTCCTCCAGTCTTTTGCATTGCTAAATGACATCATTAATCACTTCTAAGTTGAATCATATAAGAAATTGCATTTGCAGGTCATAAATCGTTAGATCTGAGTAATTTAAAATGGATCAACCTTAACAGTGGCTCAGATCAGAAACACAGACGAATCAGAAACAGATGAAATCCTTTTATCTCATCCCCTTCAACTTTTACATGGAGCCGACCATGAAGGCTGGTAAGTTCCTTTTCTCAGGAAACTGAGAAACTGTTCAGGAACCCTGAAACTGTTGCTAAGACCACCTTCACAGCCCAAGCTGAACTGTCCACACTTAACCAGTAAGTCCTCTTTCAAACACAAGTCAGGCCATCACGCTAGGAATCATCCAACCACTTCCCACTTGCCCTTAAGACAAAGAGCAGATGTCCCAATAGTGCCTACAGAGTCTATAGGCTCCTTCCCTTCCCACCTCCCTCTCTATTTCTCTAGTTGCTGTGACCTTGCTTTATTTCCTCAAACATGCCTCATTCCAGCCAAAGGCCTTTGTATATACCATTCATCTACTTGAACCCTTCCTGTCTCTCTTAATCCCTTGGTCCTTGTCATTCAGTAAATTCATTCATTTATGTCCTTAGCTTAAATGCAACTGCTTCAGAGAACATTCTGTGACCTCTCTCAGGCCACACCAAACACCACATTACATATATCCATTTATTCTCCACCTCAGCCCTGATCATAGTTTAGTTACTTGCTGAATGCTCTTTCATCCTCAAGGCTTAAGGGAGCAGGACCACAGTCATCTGAATAACCAACTATCACCATTGCTGGTCAAGGGCTTGGGACCTGACAGGTGTGCAACAAATGTTTACTGAAGGCACTGATATGAGGTTGCAATTCATGATTCATGGTTGCCCTCCATGCTCAATGATACTCTATTTTGTTATGCCTTATTTTACTATTTTAAGGATTTTAAGAAAGAAAACAAAAACACATAATTTAAAAATTCCTAACTGACAGAACTCCGATCCCTTTCTGAATTATATCTTAGCATGGTTACATCTAGTTGTAGTTATTGTTAAAAGCAACAATAATGGAAGATAACATTTATTGAGAGCTGACCATATGCCAACCCTGTGGAGTTAAAGTGAGAATTTTGGAAGTTGGGGTATTTTTCACATAGATAGAAAATGGTGGAGCCATAGCTACAGAGATCCTTAACCCAAGCCATGATCTGGCTGCTGTCAGACCCTCACTCTTAGGGGATAAAACTGTGGGAACACAGGAACCCTCTCTCGCTCCGCACTGCAGTCAATGCATCAACTACAGAATCCAAGGAAGGCACACTTCTTAGCTGTCTGGAAAGGTTTCTAAAGACTTTTCTCAGCTAATTTCATCATGCTTCCATGAGCAAGTCTTCTAAGGTGCTGCTTACAAAAAGCAGGTGCTCCTACCGGGAGAAAGAGTCTCTGGGCAGCACAGGGTTTGAATAATTTCTTCCACTCTTGAGAGTTTCCAACGGAGAATGTGATAGGGTAGATTCTGTGTTCAAACTTCTTCGTGTAAGAGTCAGGCCACTGTCGTAACTGAAAAACACCAAAAACATGGAAGGGTGTTTAGACATCAAGATGTATAGAAAACACCCGGGAGGCTTCTGGACAGTCAAAGGAAAACTGTTCAGGCAATTTGCACAGCAAATCTAACTCCATCACCACTGTTAATGTTCACTAAATGAGACCATTTTCTCTTATCACAATTGCTAGGATTTGAAACACGAGGCGTTCACAGTTGGCAAGGGGTTTGAGAAGCTGACACAGACACGGAGTCACCAGGAGTATGGATTTGAATAAATTGCCAAGAGGGTTATTTGGAAACTAGTTACAGCAACAAACCCCAAAAGACAGAGGAACAAAGCATGACCTAATTCCCAGTATCAAAATTTGGGAACAGTCATAATATCCAACTTCACGGAGCTGGGAAAATAAATCATGATAGTTATACCATGGAAAAGTGTATGGTTAGTCTGTATGGAGATGTGATTATGATGCACACTTGGTGTTCAAGAAAAGCAAAGTACAAAAATGTTTATAATATTACTCTGACAGGAAAAATATTTGTACGAAAAGAAAAATGTGGACAGATAGATATCCAACTATTAAAAGTGGGTTCCTCTAGAGGTAGTAGTGGTGATTTAATTTCCTAAATTTTCTTTTTGTATTCTGTAGAATTTTTTGTGATTATAGATATTAAGTTTATAAACATCGTTAGTAAATTCTATTATTTTACAGCCATTTTCTGTTTATAGAAAAACTGGGCACAAAGCATCAACAGCACCCATCTGCACTTCTCTTTCCCTGCCCCACAACTGCTTCTGCTGTTGCTATCTTACAGTAGTGTGTTCAATGCACACGATGAATCAATACTGATATACTATGATGATGATGATGATCTTTTGTTTTGTTTTGTTTTGTTTGTTTTGAGACAGGGCCTCACTATGTAGTTGAGGCTGGCCTTGAACTCACTATGTAGCTCAGTGATGCTCCTGCCTTCATAGCGATCCTCCTGCCTCAGCCTCTGAAGTGCTGGGGTTACAGGCGTGCACTATCACGCCTAGCTTTGATACTCTATTATTAACTAAATCTTTACAGTAGGGTTACATTATAATTTATATTAGGTTTACATTAGGGCTAGCTGTTTGTGTGGTATGCCTCTATGGATTTGGACAAATTAATGTATCACCATTATGATATAATACAGAATAGTTTTATACTAAAAATTCTCTGTCCCACCTATCCAACCTTACCTTTTTCCATCTTCCTCAGCTCTTGCAATCACTGGCCTTTTTATTATCTCTTTAGATTTGCTTTATCCAAAATATCATATAGTTGGAATTACATAGAGTATAGCTTTTCAATTATTTTCTTTCACTTAAAATTTGTATTTAAGCTTCACTTAAGATTCTTTCTGTGGCTTGATAACTCATTTTTTTATCATTTAATAATACTCCTTTTTTTTTTGTACTGGGGATCGAACTCATGACCCCACGTTTGGCAAGCAGGCACTTAACGCCACTGAGCTAAACCTCGGCCCCAATAATACTCCATTATATGGATATACAATGCATTATTTCTCCATCCACCTACTGAAGGACATTATGGTTGCTTGCAGTTGGGGAAAATTATGACTCAAGTTGCTATAAATATTTCTGTGCAGGCTTTTTAAAGTTTTTAACTCATTTGGGTAAATGCTCAGAGTTGCAACTGCTGCATCAAATGGTAAACCTACATCAAATTCTAAGAAACTGCCAAGAACTTTCAGTGTGGCTATATCCTTATATGTCATAATTTAAAAAGCTTGTGCTTTTAAATGTCTTTTTTTTTTTTTTAATCGGTACCGGGGATCAAACTCACAACCGCCTGCTTGCAAGGCAGGTTCTTATGCCACTGAGCTAAATCTCCAGCCCCAAAGCTTGTGCTTTTAAAACCTTCTTCTGGCCTTTGACACTCTGGTTTTTGCGCTGATATGTGTACTTGTAGATTTTTTCCGATTTATCCTGATGAGGATTCATTAGGGTTCTTGAGTCTGTAGACTGGCCCACCATTCCTGTGCGGTTCTCGCCAGTCACGTCTTTACATACCACCTGCCTTCTGACTCTTCTTTCCTTCTAGAACTCATTTGCAGTGCACTGCCTTTTGACGGTACCCTTCATATCTCTTAATTCCTAGCTGATATTTTCCATTTCTTTATCTCTCCCTGCAGCATTCTGTGTAATATCTTTCAGTTCATGATTTGTTTCTTCAGCTGTCTTTTCTGCTGATTAAGTTTCACAGAAGCCGTATAGCAGGCTCATAGCCTGGTATCACGGCTCCCAGAGATGTCAGACTCTTGTTCTGACTTAATTATGCAGTTCTATGTTCAAGAAAGTAGTTAGGCTCACACTTGTAACCCCTGTACTTAGGAGGCTAAGGCACAAGGATTACAGTAAGTTCAAGGTCAGTGTGGGCTACATAGTGAGTTCAAGGCCAGGATGGACTACATACTGAGACTGTCTCAAAACCAAAGCAAACCAAACCAGATAAACAAACAAAAAAGAAAGTAGATCTCAGCCTGGGGAAGCCGAAGGTGACAGATACCTACTGCACTTTGTAGAACTCTGTACTACACAGAGCTGACCATGCACTCCATTCTGTGTACCAGAAAGTGGGCCATCACATATGCACTGCATACTGAGAACCATCACACACTAAGAGGCCTTTGTCTCACACAAGGTGCTCTGTTGGCCTTGGAGGATTTTTCAGACTCATCCAGGTGTGTCTGTGCGTGGTCCCCCTCCTATTCACTTGTCAACTTGATGGCTGTACAGTCTTTAGGGAAGTTTTTGAATTTTATCCATTATATTTCATTGCTAAAGATTTCTGTCTCCACCCTCACTCCCTGTGCCTACTCAAATTTTCTCTCTCCTGCTATAAACACACTGCATCTGCACTCAATCAGCTCAACACCCAAGGTTCACTTGCTCCTGCCATCTCTCCTAGTGCTTGCTTCCTTCCATGACACATGACCTTTGCTCACAGAAACTACATGTTGGGGATTTTTGCTGCCTGGGTGGAGAGAGTCCCTCCAGGGGTATGTGCTTTTGTCCCTGGAGGTGGGAGGCCCAGAGGCACAGCAAATGCCCTGGCTTACTTCGTTCCAATTCTCTGCTTGTATTTTTTAAAAAGGCCCCCACAGATACTTGAGTTTCAAGTTCTGAATTCATCTGAGGAATGATAATGTTCACATGTTTTTGAGGGAGAAAAGACTAAAAAAATAAACTCGTTTAAAACTTAAAGTCAACATGCCGTTTCTTGTTCTCAGATGCTGGGAAGTTTTTATTTTTTAATTTGGCACATCTTTTCCCTAAAAGAGTAGACTTTAATAGGTCCCAGCTTTTTATGAGGGAAGGTGGTGCCATGGGTTGAACCCAAGGCTCCATATGTGCTCAACAAGATGCTCAACCCTGAGTGGCACTCCGAGCTGTGCAAGGTGTGTGTGTTCTCCACTCAGTCTGTGTCTGCTGCAGGCCTTGAGCCACTCCCAGGACCAGGGGCCCAACTGAAGAGGACTTAGGGCCACTAAGCACCCAATGGTACAGGGCTCACTTACCTAGTCATCTTGTGCTTTCGCCATTAGCAAGTAGATGCTGACACTATGCCCTTGAATCTCCAGAACTGTAAGTTAAATAGACTTCTTTTCTTTATAAAGTTACCCAGCCTTAGATATTTCATTACAATAATGAAAAACTGTCTTAAACAGGAACACAATGGTCCCCTATTGCAAAGGGATGTTTTGAGAAGTAAATGAAATGAAATCATTAATTATAAGTTCTCTGCATATATTACATAATTTATTTTGCAGCTATATATTACCATCATTATTATGCTGCAGTTAACTCAGAGTGTTTCAGTCTTCTTCAGTCCCCTTTTTAAAAATTGAGGATTTTACAAAGCATTTCTTGAATCAATTCCAAAGCCCTAAGATTGTTGGTTTCTCTGGCTTCTCTTGGTGAAGATGCTAAGGGTTTTTTGCCTTAGAAAACATACCACACTTTCTGTTTTCTGTTGTTAGCCTTTCTTAGCAAACATGCTGCTCTTGGCATTTTTATTAGCACAGCTGTCCTGGTGACAGCACACAGCACTGTTGACCAAGTCAATAGGAATAAAGCATATTTCTCTCTGCATCATTCAAGAAGTTTCTGCAAGAGAAAACTTTCAAAGAAAACAGAGCTCGGTCTGCCAAGACCATGTATGCACCTCCACTAGGGGAAAAAGCCTTTCCGGAGCTCTTCTGATGTACTGGTAAAATTCAAGATGGGAATAGTGGAATAAATTGTGACCCAGAGCTGGGGACATAGCTCAGCAGCACAGACCCTGCCTGGCAGGTGCAATGTCATCAGTTTGATCGTCGGTACCAAAACAAAACAAAAATTGTGACCCAGCTACATAATAAAATATTATGTCATCACCAAAAAAGGATGAGGTAAGGAAGCAACAGAGTGCTGACCAGGATACTGCTGAAGAAATGTTCCAAGTGTAGAAAAGTAAGAACCACACCATCTACGGTACAACTCTGATTTTGCAAAAGAAATACATTTAAGTCTGCACATGTACACACATGTCTATATAGGTATATGTAAATGTAAATGTGTACATGACTAGACACATGTCTGTATATGGGAACATTCAGACACAAGCACACCCACCTGTAGATGCAAAACCATATGCAAAAAGCACTCAAAATTACTAACTCTGACCATTTGTTATAGGAAATGAAGGGTAGTGAGGAAGTCTATCCTTTATCATCAGTATCACTGAATTTATTTCAATGAATGTATATTGCTATTTTATATACATATACATGTATGTGTGTGTGTGTGTGTGTGTGTGTGTATTTTTCTCTTATCTCCAAAAGACAGAATAATGTTGATAACCCTAACAAGGATTGAGTTCTGTATCAAGTGCTTTAGGGGCGTCATTTCATTGGAACCTTACAATATCTTTCTGAGGTGGGCATAATTTACCTCTATGCATGAAAATGATAAAGCTCAGAGTCAAGTGTCCAAGGTCACATAACTGAACATCAGTAAAACACGGGTGGGAGCAGGTTGTGCAGTGTGTGTAATGCAGTCTGGGCCTGCCCTCAGTAAACGCTGTGCCATTCACTGTCGCAAATTCACCTGCTTATCAAACTCCGACTGCAGAGAGTCTTCGGTGAAGATGTGAAACTGGATCTTCCTGTGGCTGAACAGCACGGCCGACTTGAGCATGACCAGCGTCTCCTCCAGCCGATTGCCACAGGCCACCACGGCGAGGTGGATCCAGAGCTCGGGTGGCAGCACAGCATGGAAATGCCTAGGTTCTCCAGGCCTCCTAGAAAATAAAAAGCAAATTAAAGCCATAACAACAAACAAAAAGCTAGTGAATGGTTGGAACATTTCAAAAATATGAACAGGCACAATCTGTTATATTTTATAAAGTGATAAGCATTTTGACAATTCTTCCTGCTCACAGAAAAATACCATTCATCCCCATATTTATCCTGGCAACAGCGGGGTGAGTCACTGTTTGGACTGCTATAGGTGTCTGGGACTTTCTCTGCCAGCTTTTAGCTGTCTAGTGCCTGCTGGCTGCCTGCTGGCCCATGTTTGGAAAAATATTGCTAAACTTCAACAGCTGACACAGGGTTGTGGGGCTCCCACTTGCACAGGCCATGAAAATTAGATTTGAGTGCAACTTGAACAAGAGGAGGGTGGGTTGTAGCTTTCCCATGTGAAATGGGCAACATGATATTGCCGTCATCTGGATGTTTTTAGGTTGCATCGGAATGCATGACTGCCGAACCAAAGGAATATCACGCTATGTGGGGGGTGAGCAAAACAAAACCTGGGCCTCCCTCCTCCCTCCCATCTCAGGGGAGTTGTGAAGAAACAGGTGTTAATCCTAACTGTCTCGCCAAAGACTGGTGGAGTGATGGGCATGAAATCCAGCTTCCAGTATGAAATTCCTATGCACGAGAAACAGGCAGGAGAGGGACAGGTTAAGCTGCAAGCAATCAAGGTATCAAATATTCAGTCCACAGCTGGGAAGGGAATAGGGTCCAAGAGTCCAGGATTACCATCCAACTATTTCCTAGCAATAAAAGATTCGTTCCAGACAAGGAGACACAGCCAAGCCTCAAACACACCACTGAGAAACATTAGCAGGCAAGTTGGAAGAAGTTGGCCTGGAAAAGATGTCCTGAGACAAATGAAACTAATTTACTTGCACAAAAGATCTGGAGACCAGAGGAACTTGGATGTCAAGTGCTATCTGCCTTCCAAAACCTTCGAGTTCAGTCCCCACACTGCTCCATTATTCTCTGCTCTGGTGGACAACGGCAATCTTGCTCTGGATTTCTTTCACCAGGAGGAAAGCCGAAAATGTGGGTGGAGCGCTTTGGAAAGCTTTCAATTTGATTATTTCAGATCATGCTTGATAGAAGCACAGCTTCATGGTTCAGCCAAGGCCAGATGCAGTGAATTATTTGGTTTCTACTTGGGGGATCAAGAAAAAGATGGTACCTAGGGGAAATGTCCACTTCTTCATCCTGCCACTGCCTGATGTGGCTACTGTCCCCCTTCACTTCACTCCCTGTGACAGTCCTGGTGGTCCCCTGGCTTCTCATCTCATCTTTAATTCCCACCATATGTGTTCTCTTGATTGGCGCCCGAGCGGATGTTCTAAAATGCAAATCGTGCTATTCCTTGGTTAAAATCATATAAGGTCTTGGCACTGCCTTCAAAGTCAAGTCCAAACTGCTAATTATGGCTCCTGCTTTTATCTTTTGCAACTGCCCCCAATACTCCACTGCCCAGATGCATGGCCACCCACAAGCAGACTCACTGTCACACTGCATTCCCAATCTGTTTCATTTCTAGTTCATGCTGTTGGTTCTAAGACTTGACACCTGCACATTCATTCATTCGTTTTCACTTCTTACCTCTATTTCTCTCTGAAATGCTCTTTTCCCTCTCTTCCTTGCTAACTGCAGCCCAATTATTAATGAAATTTTTTACTAAAAGCCAATCGTGTGCCAGGCACAATTTTGGAAAAGACAGCAGTGAACAAAACAAAGATACCTGCCCCTGCAGAAGTCACACTCGGCAAAGGACGAAGGAAAGACAGAAATAAGTAACAGCAAAAGGGGTGGTTCCTAACTAATTCACACAGAAGATGTGAACCTCATAGGTGCTATGAAGGAAATTTGTGGCTGGGTCCCAGGGGCGGCAGTGGGCTGGTGCGGGATGCTATAGTACAGAGTCTAGAAAGGCTCCCCCAAGAAAGAGAGCTCTGCCAGTGGCTTGAAGGAGTGAGGGAGGGAGCCATGAGCATCTCTGTGGCAGGAGCCCAGCAGAGGGCACAGGCACTGAATCAGGGTGAGCCTGGAAGCTCCGGGAACCCCACTTGCAGAACTCACCTGCCCATTCTCTCCCTAGGATTCAAGTGTGTGCTTTCATTCCCACTACAGAGCAACTCTCGTTTAACTGTTAAAAGGGGAGGAAATATTAGAAATAGTGCTGAAGTGACAGTCAACTACCAAATCATGGTCGCCAGGTGGGTGGCGCATGCCTGTAAGCCCAGGACTGGCAATGGGGGTAGGACTGAGGCAAGAGAATCTCTGTGAGTGCCAGGCCAGCCTGGGCTACATGGTGAGTTCAAGGCCAGCCTGAAATGTATCGTGACAAGCTGTCTCAAAAAGACAAAAACAAAAACAAAATCAAGAGGACGGCCAAAATATGCTACAAAAAGATTCAGCGTTTAAAATTTTGCCTGATATTCAGGAATACAAGTGTGATTCAAAGGTACACACAACTCAGACTGGGAATGTAGCTCAGAGATACGACACTTGCCTAGCATAATGGAGGCCTTGGGCACAGAAAAACATACAACATAAAGCAAAGCTGTTCATAATGAATCCAATCAGTTAGCTATCTTTTTTCATTCTGTTAGTTTTATTTTGGTTTTTTGGTATGGAGGATCAAACTCATGATCTTGCACCTGAAAGGCAGGCACTGTGCTGCTGAGCTATGTCCCCGGCAACTTGGTTATCTTAAACAGGGACATTTGCTCCTGCCCGCTAACAGACCAGTCCACCTAGTTTAGCTTTACATATTGAGCTTCTGGATGAGTAACAGATTTAAACTTCAGTAATAAGGGAAACACACATTCAAACAATAAAAAGATTTGATTTTGTCCTCAGACTAGCAAAAGTTACAGAACAAGGTAAAAGTGTACCTACAGTGTGCATATGGGGGAGGAGACAGCTCAGGTACTGCTGGGGGCAGTGGAAATTGGCCCAAACACTTGGTGAGCCATCAGGCTACCGATGCAGGAAGACAGTGGATAACATGTGCTCCATCCCTCCGCGTCTACTTTCACATTCAGAATCTGAGGAAGCTCTTGCAATTTTGCACCAGTTCCATCAAGAATGCTTATATAAGCTCTCATTATGATAATGAAAAACTGGAGATAAACTTTGTCTGCAATAGAGAAGCATGAATATATCTGACCCATTTAAAGAGTGAACTACTATACAGCAGTGAAAAGGAATAAACTACAAAGGCACATACCAACAAAGAGCCAACCAGGAAAAAAGGGAAAAAAGCAGCTATAAGGAAAACAGCAATAAAAAAATTAAAAGAATTTTTAAAAGAAAAACAGCAATCAGATCATATTATTTAGCTAATGTTAAAGAGGACTGTACTGAATTTTTTTGGTGGGTATATGCAGTAAAAGTCAGATCTACACATAAGAATGAAAACCATCAATGCAAGATGTAGTTATTTCTTTGGATTTAGAACTGTATTCCTTTAACTGAGTGCTAGGTATGCAGAGATTAACTTTATTGCAATCTATATTTTGTCCAACTATTAGACAAATATTCTTGTTTCCACTGAAAAGATTACAGGCTGTGGTTGTGGCTCAGTTGTAGAGTGACTGCCTAGCGAGTGTTCCATCCCCAGCGCCAAAAACAAAACAACAACAACAAAAGCTTGCATTCTGCCGCAGGTCAGAAAACCACCTCTTCCTTTAGTTGCAGGCTCCAGTGATTCAGAGCTGCGTGGCAGAAAAAGCAAGGGCCAGGTAATGCAGCCTTTCAGGGTGTCTGGTGACAGGTACTAAAAAAGAATCGCCTCTCGGTGCCAGTTCAAGTGTCAGGGGTTGGGATTTAATGAGGACTTTGCTGGCCCCACTGTGCTCCCTCTCACGTTACACTAAACCCCCAGGCTGCAGGTAACACAAGTATTGCCGTTGTGCGGGCACATGAACAATGAAGCTTAGGGTGCTGACTCGGTGGGCCTCCCACTGGCTCCTACCAACGGCACACGCAGCATCTCTCAAATGTCACCCAAGACTGCGAGAATCCAAGGAGCCCCATCTAGAACCTGGGGCTGTTAACTCCTCAAACCCCTGGGCTAGGAAAGGGCATGAATCCTTATTTAGCCGCGTTGGTATTTATACTTAGAAAGGGGGTTGGCACACACATTTGCTGTCCAGGGTTTTTAGAGACTGTGCTAAGGACAGAGCTGATGACAGCTATACTGGCGACCGAGCTGGTACCGCCCAAGTGGGAGTCAGCTCTGCAGCAGGAGGCAGAGCCAGAGACGGTGGGTCAGCTGTTTGGTGACATTAGCTGGATGCAGGAGCACCTGGCCTCAACTTGGACAGTGCTGTTTTTAAGCCAACAAATTCCCTTTCACTTGAGCCAGTTTGTAACAAACTTCCAACCTGGCAACCAAAAAAGGGTTTCAACACAGATTCCAAACGCGATGTTTCTGATCGTCTTGGACTCTTCCTGCCTCGCTTGCCTTCGCCTGGGCCAGCCTTTGAAACGCATCCATTCCTTCCACACTCACTGCTACCGCCCTTACTGAATCCTCATCACAAGCTGGAAGGGATACCACGCGCCATGCGGGACACCAGATGCCCTTCCTAACCACGCATGTAATCATCTGCAGTGCTGCCTGATATGCGGACTCCCACCACCCAGGACCAGCCTGAACTACCTGTACAGCGGGACCCATCTCAAAAAAATGTCTTGAGTATCTGTCCAATCATCTCTTTTTCAGTGGGAAAGACAGCAGACCAGAAGCACAGAGAACCTTAGCAGGCAAAAGGACCAAGTAGAAAGGGCAACACTGTTTAGTTTTTCTTAGTGTTTGACAATCACTTTTTTTATTGGTATACGTTAGATGTACATAATGATAACATTCATCATAAGGAATGTGTACCTGTACATGATACATCTTGATTCTTTTTGTTTTCCATGACAATTACCTTCATATTTTTAATGATAATTTCTGGCATGGACATAGTTTCTTTAAAAAAAA